ACTCAGTTACATGAGAGTACAACTCACATCACAGTTACATGAGAGTACAACTCACAACTCAGTTACATGAGAGTTCAACTCACAACTCATTTACATGAGAGTAAAACTCACAACTCAGTTACATGAGAGTACAACTCACAACTCAGTTACATGAGAGTACAACTCACAACTCAGTTACATGAGAGTACAACTCACAACTCAGTTACAAAAGAGTACAACTCACAATTCAGTTACATGAGAGTTCAACTCACAACTCAGTTACAAGAGAGTACAACTCACAACTCAGTTACAAGAGAGTACAAATCACAACTCAGTTACAAAAGAGTACAACTCACAATTCAGTTACATGAGAGTTCAACTCACAACTCAGTTACATGAGAGTACAACTCACAACTCAGTTACATGAGTGTACAACTCAGTTACATGAGAGTACAACTTACATCACAGTTACATGAGAGTTCAACTCACAACTCAGTTACATGAGAGTACAACTCACAACTCAGTTACATGAGAGTACAACTTACATCACAGTTACATGAGAGTTCAACTCACAACTCAGTTACATGAGAGTACAACTCACAACTCAGTTACATGAGAGTTCAACTCACAACTCAGTTACATGAAAGTACAACTCACAACTCAGTTACATGAGAGTTCAACTTACAACTTAGTTACATGAGAGTACAACTCACAACTCAATTACATGAGAGTACAACTCACAACTCAGTTACATGAGAGTACAACTCACAACTCAGTTACATGAGAGTTCAACTCACAACTCAGTTACATGAGAGTACAACTCACTTACATAAGAGTACAACTCACAACTCAGTTACATGAGAGTACAACTCACATCACAGTTACATGAGAGTACAACTCACATCACAGTTACATGAGAGTACAACTCACAACTCAGTTACATGAGAGTACAACTCACAACTCAGTTACATGAGAGTTCAACTCACAACTCAGTTACATAAGAGTACAACTCACAACTCAGTTACATGAGAGTACAACTCACATCACAGTTACATGTGAGTACAACTCACATCACAGTTACATGAGAGTACAACTCACAACTCAGTTACATGAGAGTTCAACTCACAACTCAGTTACATGAGAGTACAACTCACAACTCAGTTGCATGAGTATACAACTCAGTTACATGAGAGTACAACTCACAACTCAGTTACATGAGAGTACAACTCACAACTCAGTTACATGAGAGTACAACTCACAACTCAGTTACATGAGTGTACAACTCAGTTACATGAGAGTACAACTCACAACTCAGTTTCATGAGAGTACAACTCACAACTCAGTTACATGAGAGTTACGTTCGAAACTTATGACCGCTATTTTAATTCGCGAGCATACGCTACTGTCGATCACTATGGTAGGAAGGCCATTTTAAACAAGTGTTTAATTGACAAACCAAATAGCAGAATGGCACCGTGTGTTACTGGGTGTATAAGATCACATCCTGAGTACCCACTAATAGACTTCCTTCCATTCTGTTTCTTATATACCATACTAATACATTCTGTTACTGTAGCAGCTAACCACTTTCGCTTTCAGCCATTTGTTCCTTGTCAATAAAACTCAAAAACTTTTAAAGAATTGGGGCTCCAGTCTATTAATTACTGTAGTATTTGTCTCTACCCAGAGCTTACCGGAACCCGGATGTATCTATTCTCTGTACCTCGATTTGTCACATAGGCATCTCTGTTGCCTTCTCATAATGTCAAGCTATTACGAACTGCTTTTAATACCTTGACTGCAATGATCACCTTACTTGTATTTGTAAATGACACGATTTAATTGGATCGAATGTTAGCGAATATAGCCAATCAGAGCAACTGACAGACTGAAGTAAACAATTTGAAAAGAGTGAAATCGAGGGCTCTGATTGGCTGCATTTACACACTTCCGCAATACAAGATACGTGTGGCTATTGCAGCCAAGGTATAAGACGCAGTTTGTAATAGCTTGATTTTGTGAAAATGCCCTGTTGTAGACAACATAAATCTAATATGGTTATAATGGAAGACTATTTTAATCCCTCATTTCGTTTCATCAGCTCAAGAAAATGATATTATATTGATGTACTTACACCATTATTCACAGAATATCTCTTTTAATAGAAACATTTTTACAACTTTTTAAGATAAATCAATACCAAATTGAGAAGCTCTCCGCCACTTTACACGATTATCATTTTCCTTTTTCATTAAAAGTTCGTCGTTTTCGTCAGGCTTCAGTCTAGATATAATATTTCGTATGCCTGATAAATCTTTTATAAGAGACTGGTGTAATAAATATACAGGTCACGTGATTTTCAAACCGACCAATTGGCTCTCTGATTTATTATTCTGCTGAAATATTTTCCCAGAAACACAGGATCCTAAATTTGAGCTCCTTATTCAAAAAATGTCCTGGTCTACAACATACGGTATGATAGGCAATATGCACGTGTATGGTGTGACCTCAATATTGCCCTATCCTTCTGCACAAAGGTTACTGTATTCATTATACACGTGCATGATGAGACCTCAATATCGCCTTTCCTTCAGCACAAAGGTTACTGTATTCATTATACACGTGCATGATGAGACCTCAATATCGCCTTTCCTTCAGCACAAAGATTACTGTATTCATTATACACGTGCATGATGAGACCTCAATATCGCCTTTCCTTCAGCACAAAGGTTACTGTATTCATCATACACGTGCATGATGAGACCTCAATATCGCCTTTCCTTCAGCACAAAGGTTACTGTATTCATCATACACGTGCATGATGAGTCCTCAATATCGCCTTTCCTTCAGCACAAAGGTTACTGTATTCATTATACACGTGCATGATGAGACCTCAATATCGCCTTTCCTTCAGCACAAAGGTTACTGTATTCATTATACACGTATTATTATACAAAATGGCGTGGTGCTTTATCTTTTATCTTTAATTCCAATTCCTGAATTTAGAATTTAAACCACCATTTTCCAAGCCAAGTTAATATACTTAACATGTGCAGACAACACTCATGAATATTCAACAGCACTCATAAATATTCAACATCACAATATGCATTATAAGCATATTCATACGACTTGCAAAAACTATTACCAGGAATAAACATTATGTTATATCACAAGGATACTTTTATATCTACAACCAATTCCTCCTGAATAATTATCTTCGTCTTCATTAGCCCAATCAAAAGGAGATAAGAAGGACGCAGAAGTGCATTCCTTATATTTTTATATTCATTTTTGCGGTCATGATCCGCACATAGCTTCGTGTAAGCGTCGAACTTGGATTAAAAAAAAACGCATAAGATTTTACACAAAAATAGTTTTCCTAGATTCTCACATTTTCATCTTGTACTCAACAAAAGAGCAAAAATAGTTTGACAAAATACGAAAATAATTTGAATATCTTTTTTAGTGGCTCCTCCTGTCGGCCCCCGTCCCAATCGTTTTTTCTCTTTTATAGGAATCACACCTTTGGGGCCATTACAATAGTCTGCTACGCACGCGCACATAGTCATGACGTCATTCGTAATACAGTTTTTATCTCCGCCATGTTCTTCATCCACGCACGTGTAAACTGTAAATTGAGCTGAAAATAAGAGTTCATGACGAATAATGCTTTGATTTCTGTTCCGAAAAGTGATGTGATGGAGATGAATTCAGCCCCATCTATAATGCTCATAATTGGACGCCCAAAGAAATGAAATGGAGCGGCTAATGAAGACAGGTAACGTCCTGAGTGCAAAAGAAAAAATGCCAGAACTGAGGCATTAGCACAGCCGATGAAAACCTCCACCAAGTGAAAATAACAAAAGGTGCGAATGGACGAGGTACGGGGATATCATCACAGTGACCGCTTCTTGTGTATTCGCTTCTAACTTTTCTACTGCATCGATAATCTCACACCGGATACCCGACACCTCAACTATTGAAAACTAAGAAAACTAGGCTACTTACGTGATGAAATATTAATACAATGGCCCTGACATTCAAATAAATAATTTCTGGGTTTTAGTTTTAAATCGTCGATATCACAGGTTTGACCGCCATCTTCACCACATCTATAACACAATATCTTCTCTGAGTTGCCATTTAATATCTGATCTTGACCCTTCGTACCGGAACCATCTGCGGAGCTGTGATCAAACATGGCCGATAAATCTTCATAGTTAAAACTATCTCCAGAACCTGGAAACAGAAAAGGTAATAAACACTTAATAACAAAGGAAAAACCTCTAAATCCTCACAATAAAGATCTACTATAGTTCAGATTAATGTTGGCACACTGCTATCGTATCACAATCTACTAGCTAGTTGGACACTATAGTTTAGATTAATGGTGTCCCACTGCTATCGTGTCACAATTTGTTAGCTAGGTGGACACTATAGTTCAGATCAATGGTGGCTCACTGCTTCCCCGTTACAATATTCTAGCTAGCTGCACACAATGGTGGCTCATTGTTATTATGTCACAATTTGCTCGCTAGCTAGTTGGACACAATAGTTTATATCAATGGTGGCTCACTGCTATCATGTTACAATCTGCTAGCTAGTTGGACACAATAGTTTAGATCAATGGTGGCTCACTGTTATCGTGTTACAATCTACTAGCTAGCTTGACACTATAGTTTAGATCAATGGTGGCACACTGCTATCGTGTCAAAATCTGTTAGCTAGTTAGACAAATAGTTCAGATAAAACTATTGATTTTTGATCAATGGGGGCTAACTGATATCGTGTCACAATCTGCTAGCTAGCTTGACACTTCAGTTCGGATAATTAAGCACTGGATTTAGTTAAACAAGTTACAAAAAGTTTTAAAGGCTAAACATAAAAACTTCTTGAATGGTCGGAAATGGCGATAAAAAAAGCTGGAACTAATGAAATTGAATCAATATTTTAATTGGATACTTCTGGCACTAAACCTGGAATTAGTTCCAGGAATGAGTCGATATAACTCGAGGGAATATAACAGACACTAAAACGCTCTAATTAGTTTTTAAATGTTGAAAGTCAAATCGGTTCGGCAATATTAAAATTTGCCTCGTTAACAATAGCGCTAAGGCTAATGTTTAATTTCTGTAGTAAAATTTGAAAACAAAAATGATTGAGGGGTACGTTGTAAACCTGTAAACCACCGCCTCCAACCATCAGGGTCAGTCACTGTTGACTTTTGGCATTTATGGACTGTAGTTCAACTACCACGGGGACTGGTTGAACCAAGTCCATGGGCCCACCCCTACTGTCCATAGGTCCACCCCAGAAAAAAATGCAGGGAAACATATGCTAAAAAAATGCCGGGGGAGAGGCCACAACCAACTTAACTCCAAGGGCCTCAACTCCTTTAGTTGAGCCATGCTCATCATTTCGAATTCAAAATTCAAAAGTTACTTTAAGAAGAACAAATCATGTAATATCTGATTGGATCAATTTAAATTCTAGATGTAAATAAAATCGATTGTAGAAGACAAGAGTCGGCATGAATCATAAAATAATTCCAAATAAATCAAGACGGGAACTCCCCGGGGGTGACTACTACCAGAAACATCCCCGACATCGGTATGAAATTTGATCTCGATTATTACCGTTTTATTTAATCAACTAGAAACACGATTATTATCTAATCTGAACGCATCTCTTATATAATTCATCAAAATTCTTCAAGCTAAGATATAATACGATGAAGGTAGGAACGAATAGACGAGGTACCGTGTCTGTTACGATGTACGCTGTGGGATTTTCGATACAGAAAAAAACAGAAGAAGCGAATACTCAAGGTACTGGTCCTCTTACAACACTGACTGTTATGTGTTGAAGAAGGTGCGAATAAACGAGGTGCGTTGTCCACTGTGGTATTCTCTAGTGGTGTTTCTAAAATATAGGAGAAACCGGGTTAAAAAGCCGAAGTTGAAGTTTGACCTGGGCTGGAATCGACACTGAGCTACGCTGACTTCCAAACTATAACACAAGTAGCCCAACAATTTAAGTTATTAGATAATTATATAAATATTCTGAAACACCCCATAATTATCTGCTATTTTATAAAGGTCGTTCTGTATATTCATCTATTAATATCATTATCTCTGTATGGTAACTTCCTACACCGGATTCGAACCCATTGCACTTTCAGTCTAGGAAATGAAAGTTCATACAAGTGGAAGTACACATGGAAAAAGGGGGCGCAAGAATACAGGGGTTTGGGTAGGGGGGTTTGGGCAGGACATTCAACGCATTTAAGGGCATTTATATGCAGCGATCGGAAAATTTCGGAAAAACACACTCACTTATTTTTGTGCTTGAATACATAAAATATAAAATTATAGAGCACGTATGAGGATAATCTCCAATTTCCAAATCATGTAGACTCACTTGTGGTACCATAACTTTAACTAAACATAACATTTAAGTTTCTAAATGTACCCGTTGTTCTGACACAAAGATCCCAAGGAGATTTTCTCTTCTGTTAATTTCAAATTATCTACAGTTTAAAATGTACAGAACCAGAATTTACGAACATTGAATTACTTTCACACATTTTGTTTATTTAAAGAACTTAAAACTTAAGTCCTGTGCCTGTGCTTTCGTAACTCTGCCATTAGTACAAAGTTACAACCTTTACTGACTAACTACAAGAGCAAACCAACGTAAACAAGAGTAACCCGACTCTAAAGGAAGGAGAAATACGTCCATATAAGGCTCTATTAAAGAATCTGTAGTCAACCAGTTTTTATTTCAACTTGACAGCAATGTGCGAAAGTACTGAGAATGTTGAAGTCAGTTTGTTCCCATCAAAATATTCCCAATGTCAGTATAACCCACAGTTTATAATCAACAACTAAAGTAGAGAAATGAAGTGTTTTAAAGGGATATAGCTCTATGGTAGAATAATTACACACCTTGGGCCATAACCTAACTATATATTAACTATATAATAACTATATAATATAATAACTATATAATAACTGTATAATAACTATATAATAACTATATAATAATATGATAACCAATCCGAGCGCCCCTGCATGCCTTTTCGCACTAGTTGGTGGGGAGGTCAGAGGGCCTCTCCTTATACAAAATTGGGCACTTTTGGGCACTGTTGCAGTTTCGACCCCTTTCCCTTCTGCCAAATTTCAAATCGATAGCTCAACGGGAAGGGAAGGGGGTCGAAACTGCAAAGGGCCCAATCTTGATGACTCAATGGGGTGGGGAGGGGGATACATAAAATTACTGCCTAATTACGCCAATTGGTGAATTATGAAATTTTAAAATAGAATCTATTGAATATTTCATTGTGTATTACGGCGAATGCAATATCGACATTACAATGCATTTTCATCTAAAAAAAATCATAAATACCACTTTTACCGTTATGATGTTGTCAAGTGAAGTGTGAGAAAATATCTTTTGCCCAGTTTAATATCAAACGAAATTTATTCCCGGATAATAAGAGCAGTGAAGTCGTTTGGGGTAAGGAACTGATATCCTTTCTGTCAATCACAGATAATCTTCCTGTCTTACAGTAACATTTTAAAAACAACATGTTCATGTTATTATGTAAAATGTTTTAGTGATTTGATTGTTGATGTCTGGATCAGATAGAACTGACATAGTTTTCACCTGTTAATCTTTTACAACTGATCAAACTGTGATAGATTCTAAACAAAATAACACAAACCATTCCAACTACCTGGAAACAACTTGCATCTTAATACTAACATGTACCGTTGTGGGTGTCGCTAATGTGGCAGGTCGTGCACATTTCTCGAGAATACCTCTGACGCTACTCTACAGTTAGGTCTATGAATAGGTTAGCCTGTGGTTGCAAGCTTAGTATCCCTTCTGGGGAGTTAACAAACCTAATAACACTATTTTCAAATAACAACAAATTCCATACCAAATTCTGGCATATATCAAATATCAACTATATAGGTAGTTTGAACATGTCCACTCTTTTGTACCAAATGACACAATGTGTGTCCATTCACTAAGTTTATTCCTTTCAAGTAATGGGATTATTTTAAAAATAAATATAATACCCTCTCTAGAACACCTGACCTTATTCTGCAACTATTCTTTTTGAACACCTGATACCACTATCTATGTTATTTAGCTTTTCCCTTTCAGAGAGTCCACATACCTTATAATACTATTTATATATATGAGTATAAGTTAGACTCTAAAGCGTTGAGAAAATAGATTCTGACAATCCAGTCATGGTAACCCTTTCAGAGAGTCCACATACCTTATAATACTATTTATATATATGAGTATAAGTTAGACTCTAAAGCGTTGAGAAAATAGATTCTGACAATCCAGTCATGGTAACCCTTTCAGAGAGTCCACATACCTTATAATACTATTTATATATATGAGTATAAGTTAGACTCTAAAGCGTTGAGAAAATAGATTCTGACAATCCAGTCATGGTAACCCTTTCAGAGAGTCCACATACCTTATAATACTATTTATATATATGAGTATAAGTTAGATTCTAAAGCGTTGAGAAAACAGATTCTGACAATCCAGTCATGGTAACCCTTTCAGAGAGTCCACATACCTTATAATACTATTTATATATATGAGTATAAGTTAGACTCTAAAGCGTTGAGAAAATAGATTCTGACAATCCAGTCATGGTAACCCTTTCAGAGAGTCCACATACTTTATAATACTATCTAAGAACATATATATGAGATATAAGATGGTCTCTAGGGCGTTATGAGTATAAATAAACAACCTATTATAGAGTGTTTATGGCGGAGATTTCAAAATCAATATCATGTCAAAAATAATTCTCAATCCTATACCAGTTTATTTAAGATTAACGAGACTCTAGACGCTCGTTTTTAATTTTTATACCTGGCTGTCTACTGGTCGGCCTTGGGAACTGGATTTTAACTCGAAAACTGCCCCGTTACTCTCTTTTAATTGGGAAATTTTTTCTTAGTGTGTTGTATTCTAATGAAGTCTTCCCGTCTTCATTAGCCCACATGGTGCAGAAAAGTAGGACGTAAAACTCCATTCATTTCATTTCTAATGAAGTCTTATTTTGATAAAACAGTGTCGAATGAAGAAAAATTTCGAACCAAGTTATCAGAAAGTTTCGACAGGAGTTTCAAATCAGGGCGATAAAATGGAGTTTTCCTTTATATTCACTTTGATAGACTTAGCTATAAGAGGGTAGGGTGGAGTGGAATTGTGACCCGAGTTATAAGAAAGTTTCGACTGAAATGATGATATTTTGAAGCGAGTGTTACAAACGTTTTGACTGGAGTTTAATTTTAAAAATAGTTATAAGAAAGTTTGGAATGGAGTTTAATTTTGAAAATAGTTATAAGAAAGTTTGGAATTGAGTTTAATTTTAAAAATAGTTATAAGAAAGTTTGGAATGGAGTTTAATTTTGAACACAGTTATAAGAAAGTTTGGAATGGAGTATAATTTTGAACACAGTTATAAGAAAGTTTGGAATGGAGTTTAATTTTGAACACAGTTATAAGAAAGTTTGGAATGGAGTTTAATTTTGAACACAGTTATAAGAAAGTTTGGAATGGAGTTTAATTTTGAACACAGTTATAAGAAAGTTTGGAATGGAGTTTAATTTTGAACACAGTTATAAGAAAGTTTGGAATGGAGTTTAATTTTGAAAATAGTTATAAGAAAGTTTGGAATGGAGTTTAATTTTGAACACAGTTATAAGAAAGTTTGGAATGGAGTATAATTTTGAACACAGTTATAAGAAAGTTTGGAATGGAGTTTAATTTTGAACACAGTTATAAGAAAGTTTGGAATGGAGTTTAATTTTGAACACAGTTATAAGAAAGTTTGGAATGGAGTTTAATTTTGAACACAGTTATAAGAAAGTTTGGAATGGAGTATAATTTCGAATCAAGTTGAAAGTAAATTTGGACTGAAGTTTAATTTTGAACCGAGATATAAGAATCTTGCCCCACTAAATGTTTCGACTGTAGTTTGAATCAGTACTCGACTGTAGTCACAAGAAAGTTTCGATTGTAGTATATCTATAAGATATATAGACTATACGTTTATAAAGATTCAACACGACCTAAGATTTAAAATATATTAAAAATACGTTATCATCAATCATACGACATGATCGAGAAATAATTCAGTCTGCCGAACTTAAGTCTCAAGAGTGCCGAACTTTGGTCTGTAACCTTCCAAACGTTTCAAGCCATGACAATTGCGACTAATGATACATAGAAGGGTTAATGAACTGAGCTGAAAGGATCCACAAAGTACATCTCATTTCAGCCGTCTGAAACCAGACTGACCACAACAATAGCTTTGAAAATATGAAAATCATTAAAGAGACAGATTCACCATTTCGAGGTTTGATTTGAGTCTTGGGAGGTATGTAAACAGTCTTCCAGAAGTACTAGAAATGTACTAAATTCGCTTAATTGTTCCATTTATGTCTTTTCTATATAATTATGACAGTCTCAACATTCAAATACGATTATTCTGGACACACAACGATTTGAAGATTCAAATTTCACGGTTAGCTGTGAACACTATTACTGATTAGCTTAGCCGTTTCTGAGACTAAGATGCGATTGGTCAAACGGATAGCAAACTTGCAATAGCTCATCTCACAGGTACGAATTTTCCCTCAGAAACTGGTTTGAAACAGGCTAACTCTTCGCCAAACATCTTTATATTGTATAATATCCCCCATTCTCCACAGTATTCATATTTGATGTTAAAATACCAATTGCTCAATATACAAAGATCCAATACCAAGACCACCTGTGCTGATGAGGCTCCCATATCAGAAACATGTGTCCACTTCGAGAGCTACAATTAACAGTAGGCCTACTTAATTCTAAATTCAAATCAACGTATCTATCATTTTTCAGCCTGAGATGAGGGGTATACTATCACTCCCACACAGGCCCGTAACCAGACCAATGTTCCAAGGGGGCGGCCGCACTTGCATGTGGGGGTGGAGGTGTCTGCAATTGTACAGGTCTAATGATAATTTGTTCAAATTTTGCAGAAGGCGAGATGTAGCACCGCCCCCCACCCCCTCTTCAGTTACAGGCCTGACCCCAAACATCTCATTGGTCTACATTATTCTGACCCTTATTAAACTATTGAAATATTATAAACTAGACTATCTAGTATAAATAATGTTATAAGAAATTGTCTATTTCCTGAAGTATATTTATATATTATTATATAATTTCTGGACGCCATGATAATATTACAGACGTGACGTTCTCGTCTTGTTTCCTATTTGAGTTAGAGACCGGCTGATAATCTATTAAACTGGTAATATTAACTTTCATAATGAATGATGATATAACACGAAATATGAACATTTAAAAATATCTATGTATCTATTCAAGATAATATTACAAATTGTGCCCACGTGTGAACAAATTATTTCATGATAACGACCATGTAATGAGGAAAAAGGCAGATTAAAATAATCTCAAATTTTCGTTTTGTTTCTTTTCTGCAGACCAGGTGACTGTTGCTGTAGGCCCTACCCATCTGTCACCGCTACTGCGTGGCTAGATTTTTCAAGGGGAGGTTGGGAAGGGTGTGTGTGGGGTAGTGGGGGTAGGGGGTGTACACCACCAGGCATTAAAGAACTCAATGAGAAGAAATTTGAAACTGGGGAGTCAGGCCTTCCCGTAGAAGCGACACTGCTCGCATGCGGCTCTATTCTAGGCTATTCTATTAAATTTTTTAACTAAGCTAAAGTAGATTACGACACTCTATCAGTAAAACAACTTCCCAGACTCGTGAAAAATTTCAAATCAACGATCTGGAGACATTTGACCTTCAAGTCTGTCAAGTGTTAATAATCATTCTCATTGCAGACGACAAATTGATTTTTGGCGGGCTAATTTGGTTGTCGTCTGGTTGTCAATAACAAGGGGAGACAACTGAGTGTCAAACGCGTCGTGATACATTATGAAATAGTGGGTATTGTTCTATTTTCTTCACAAATTTATCTTAAAGGTTACAAAGTCGATTACAATTTCAATCTAGATAAGGGTTATATAATAGTCTCAGACAATAAGTAATAGGATGGAGGGGGGGGGGGGGGGTGTGAGGTATGCTGAAGTATAAAACCACGAGCCGTTTGCTTCCCCAGGCATTACGCTGTGATTAATTAGGCATATTGTCATATTTCTTATCACAGTTGTAGGCTATCACAAATTTGAAGAAAGCGACGACTGTTCAATAAGCGAGATTTAAGAGAGATCATAGTTCTGGACTTGTACGAAGTTTATAGTTCTACGAAGAGCAGTGGCGTTTCTTCGAGCGGGGTTACTTTCAAAATTTTTATCAATTTACATAGTGAAAGCATACCTTGTGACCCCCCTGTGAAAATTTTGTGGCCCCTGCCCAGCCCCCTCAACTAATGTTTCCAAGAAACATCACTGACGAAGAGGTCAGAATCATGAGAATTGAATGAATTGATCGCACTACACTGTCACTGTCTGAATCTATAACTGATCTTCTTATTCTGCTATGTGCGACCCCTGGTGTGTGCTAGAACCCTTTCACTGTCAGGACGAGGTATCAACGTAGAATTCACGATTAACGGAACTGTTTGCGAGATTCCAAAAACAAACATGAACAAATTGAGGCCAGTTTCCATTCTATATAAATGCCAGGCTTTATTCTTCGCTCATCTGTCTCTTAAAGGGATGATGTCACCAAAGCCTAAATATTCGCTTTTATTAGACAAATTAGTCCAAATATTCGCTTTAATTGCTGACTCTTAGGGTTCTTTGAGATTAGTGACGTCATCAAAAACTTATTTTTAGTGGAATTGGGGCGTACAGGACCACAGACATCTGACGGAAATTGGAATGAAGCAAATTGATGCTATCAGTATCTCCGATACACATAAAGTTTTTTAGAAAGCCTCTTTACAATCCATTTATAGTGATATTGAAAGATATAAATTTAATGATACACGATTAAAAGACGTATGTTATAAAAGAAGTTATAAAAGAAGATCGATAAGAAGAAATAAGTCAATCGATTCCAATCAGTAGAAGAAATAAGTCAATCGATTCCAATCAGTAGAAGAAATAAGTCAATCGATTCCAATCAGTAGAAGAAATAAGTCAATCGATTCCAATCAGTAGAAGAAATAAGTCAATCGATTCCAATCAGTAGAGGAAATAGTTACTTTAACTCTTCCTGATAAAAACAAACGGCTGTATTGATGTTAGATTCTAAGTTAAAGGGACAACGACTAGGTTGGAATTGTGAGACGACTTTACTGAGAACAGATGACTTGCGACCGCAAACTCTAGCAATTCAAAATGTATGTTGTTTTCTGTTGCGAAAATACAATTTCCTTTTGAGAAACCTTTAAGCGCTCAAAGACTTTTGAACGACAGAAGCCTCTTTTAACTACTGATTTATGTGATTTACTTCTTGTAAACCAATAAGAATGACTGATTGACATGACGTCACTTCCGTGATTCGCGAACGGTTGCGACGTCATGTACATTATTAACAAATGAAAGAATAAGTTTTGGCATGATGTCACAGAATGACGACGTCTACCAATGACAGAATAACTGATAACCTGATGACCTGACGTCATCGATGTCATCTGCATGATTAGCCCTCCTTGACAGAATGGGTGTTAACATGACGTCATCTACTTGATTAGCCAATGACAGGTTGACTAGAAATTTAGTGCTGAGATGTCGAACGTTGATAAGATTTGTTAGTATATGATGGAATAGCAGAGAGTACATGATTGGTATTGATTTTTTTGATCTTGATGGTAGATCTGTAGTCATCTGTAGTCGAAACAAATATATGGTTACAGAAGTCAATTCCTGATGTGGGTCAGGCATCAGACTAGACAGGGGCGTATCCAGAAAATGCCTGAGTAGGGGGCCAAAAATGAGAGTTGTCTGTCGCATTCATTCCTCAGAACTATAAGAGTCATCGCACTTAGCAAGACACAAACAACCATTTTTGATATTCATCAAAATCAGTTTTTGTTTTTCATGGAATTTCGAAACAGAAAAGAATGATAATCACTCCCAGAGCCTATCATCTGTTTTAAATTAAACTTACTTACAATATCATGACATTCTGAATTATTTAATTTTAAAAATCGTTACCATAGAAACGTAATTATTTGTGAAATTATAATAAAAACAGGTTGAAGATGAGAAAAGAGTTTAAACTGGAGAATATCAAACTTGTTAAAAAGTGATTAGGAACAGGTGTCATGTTTTTCACTTCAAATTTCATTGGAAGCTGAGTCAGCTCGGTTAGTTAGACGCCTGCTCTCTAGAGGTGCAGAACCCTGTTTCTCAAAATATCGCAGATTAACGTACGAGCATAAACGTTATAAACTAACGATTTGATAGCGTCAAAAATAATGTTTTAGTCGTACGAATTTTTGAGAAACGGGGTCCAGATAGGATTAGCTTTGGCCCCGCCCCCCTACTTTAATTTCCATTCATTTGCATATTAAAACAATTGTCTGTGGCTCCCGTGGAAATATTTTACTGGCCCCTGCTCGGCCCCCACACCTAATGTTTACTAGAAAAAAACATGTGTTTAGCACAACAGTTTAGATGTTACCGCCCTGGCAATCTTTCCTTCATTGCAGAGTGCACACTGAAACGTAGGACCGAAAGATACCCATCTAACATAATCTCCAAATAAGAGAGTGTTGCAGAAATTTTTCAAATTGTGCCAGAAAGTACATTAATTTCAATGAACTCACCCCTTTACGTATCAGACGCCAAAAAGGACGACAATCACACAACTGTCCTCTCACCATATCTATTACCAGTTGTGTATGGTTGCGAATAATAAAAGTGGAGATCTGAACGTAACTTAGTAGCATGAGAGTTGCATTTCTTATTCGCTACCATACACAACTGGTGATCACTATAGTGTAAGAACATCTTTACTAATAGCTAGATAATTAAACGTATCAAGTTTTATTGACAGAGATTAAGAAGAGGAATACTATCATGTCAAGTCAATTGTGTAGAAAAATAAGAAATATCTGACCTGACATCTTTCCTGACATGACATCTGACCTGATATCTAACATGACTGTCAATTTTTGGATGAATCTGGTCAATAAGGCAGCACCATAAATACTCGAAAAGAGGAGAGTGGTCTGAGAAGGGGCGCCTACACTATGTCAAGCTATTATGAACTGCGCCTAATACCTTGAAATCGTTAGGCACTTTTTTGTATGTCGAAGTTTGTAGATGCAGCTATTTGATGGTATTAAACTCTAATACAGACAATCAGAACCCTCGAATACACAGCCACATCGTTTTTCTGTTGAGGGCTCTGATTGGCTGATTCCCAGGAGTAAAAATCAAATCAAATCGCTGCATTTATACAAACTTCTATCATACAAAATAAGTGCCTTTGGATGTCAGTGTATTAGACGAAGTTCGTTATACCTTGACATTGTGAAGACAAATTTCGTAATACCTTGACATTGTGAAGACAAAGTTCGTTATACCTTGACATTGTGAAGACAAATTTCGTAATACCTTGACATTGTGAAGACAAAGTTCGTAATACCTTGACATTGTGAAGTTGGAGGAGGGAAGACATATGACGAACTGATCTAGTCCATGACCCTATCCGAATGTCAACGGAGGTTTGGAGGATGCAATACACCCACCTTTACGACAGTTTAAATCCTAACTGAAAGCAGAATTACAAAGTTAATTGAGCCAATTAGGACAGACGTGGAAATACAAACAAACTGATTTAGTCTGTGACCGTATCCGAATGTCGACGGAGGTTGGAGGATGAAATACACCCACGTACGCGATGGTTTAGAACCGAACAGAAAGTTGTACAAAAGGTTAATTGATCTAATCAGGTTCTATTGATATATCTGTTTCTGACTCTACAGTATTTACTTGCCGTCAACTTCCTGATTAGATCAAACTACCTAAGAACTGTTGTCAAGACGTTAGTAACTTTAAGATAATCATATGTACAGCACCAAGAGCACTGATTGGTCGATGCTGTCGTAGTGATAGAACTGACCAATCAGGGTACTGTTCTAAGAACGATCATATCTTTAAGGAAATCATCAAATCGGCTTAGTGTCAGGAATATGATAACTTTAAGACTGGCATAAATAAAATATGAAGAACTGTGATTGGTCGATGTGAAAGGAATGACCAATCAGCGGCTTAGTGTCAGGAATATGATAACTTAAGACTGTCATAAATAAAACATGAAGAACTCTGATTGGTGGATGTTATTAGTGGTAATAATATTGACCAATCAGAATTCTAGCTTGTTCTCAGAAACATTGTAACTTTGTAACGCTGATTGGTTGATGTAATTACAATAAATATTCAAAACAAACATTATTAGCTATGTGGACTCTCTGAAAGGAATGCCAAGTTGACCAACCTAAATAACAAACAAACATTATTAGCTATGTGGACTCTCTGAAAGGGATGCCAAGTTGACCAACCTAAATAACAAATACACATTATTAGCCATGTGGACTCCCAGAAAGAGTCTGACAAACCAAATACATATACCAGATAAAAATTATTAGCTATGTGCATTCCCTTAAAGAGATTTCGAGTTGACAAACCTAAATAAACATTATTAGCTATGTGGACTATCTGAAAGGGATGCCTAGTTGACAAACCTAAATACCAAATAAACAATATTAGCTATGTGGACTCCTTGAAAGGGGTGCCTAGTTGACAAACCAAATACATATACCAAATACAAACCTTAATTCCAAATAAACATTATTAGCTATGTGGACTCTCTGGAAGAGATACAGAGTTCACAAACTGAGTTGCAGAGTGGTATGGGGTGTTCCGGGAGGATGAACATGCTCTGACTCGCAAGCGATACCCACCAGTGATTTTATTCTGGAGCTGAAATTCACCACAAGATGATCTCATACTTTATATCAGTCTCCTAAATCATCTCTAACAGTTCAATAATCTATAAAACCAGACCATCTAAAACATAAAACATGTCAAATCAACCAGACGCTATCTCTTCCCATCAAAGCGCTTTCCTCTGATTTATGACTCGCATGTTTCGAATGTAAAATTGAAAATGGTTGGACAAAACGTGATCAAAGTAAAAACACGATATCTTTTCCCCTTGCTCTTAATTACATCCCAATATCTTTTATTCAACCGAGCTCTAAAAAATAAACACTGATAATATTTTATACATTACTTCATATTTCTCACTCAATCCGTAATGGCTTCCTACTCCTCATTCAATCCGTAAAATGTCATTTCAAATATTGATTTCACATAACGACACGCGATATTCAATTTCAGCTTTTAACAAATTACTTGCTGTTTTTTACCAGGATGGGAATATTTTTATTGGTTTTGATTTCTTGTTTATTAATAGACCAGAGCGTTTATTTTTAATAATATATTCTATATTCTACCTTGTACTTTTAAATAACATAATTCCGAGAAAAGTAGAACATACACACAGCGTTCCATTTCATTAGTCCAATAAGATACAGAACAGTAGGATATAAAATTCTATTTCATTCCATTAGTCCAATAAGATACAGAATAGTAGGATAAATAACACCATTTCATTTCATTAGTCCAATAAGATATAGAACAGTAGGATATAAAACTACATTTCATTTTATTAGTCCAATAAGTTACAGAACAGTAGGATATAAAACTACATTTCATTTCATTAGTTCAATAAGATACAGAACAGTAGGATGTAAAACTCTATTTCATTTCATCAGTCGCATAAAATATAGCACAGTAGATAATAAAATTCTATTTCATTTCATCAGTCCAATAAGATACAGAACAGTAGGATTTAAAACTCTATTTCATTTCATTAGTCCAATAAGATACAGAACAATAGGATATAAAACTACAGACTAAATACGTGTTTAAATATACATTTCACCTTCATTTTTAATTAAACTGTCCTTCCAGTTACTTCCAAAAACAAACCTTATCGATAGGCTACTCACTAATCAATGCTTAAAGGAATACTTCCGCTTAGAATGGACAAAAAATTTAACTTGGTCAATAAGAGTATATATTTACCAGTTTTGACTTAGCAGGTGTCACGATTAGGGAATAGAATCTCTATGTATGACGATATATCAATATATTGATTTTCAAAAATTAATTTTGGATCTTAATTGATTATTACTTAGTTTATGAATTTATTTGATTATAGAGGGGTTCTGATAAACAAAAAGTCATTTTGACCAAGTTTAAAAATTTGATAATTTCGGTCATCCTAAGAGGAAGCATACCTTTAATAAAAATGTTAAAAATATCCAGATATCGATCTAAAATGGTAAAACAGACTAAGACTAAGCTATAGCGTGAATAAGAACTGTTCACAGATTCTGTTTTATAAATTGACAATTTAAAGTTTTCCAGGACAGGCAATTAACTCAATTAAAAACTTTCTGTTTTTTTTTTGTTAGACTTTGACACGAACAATCTATCAGGGTCATGTTAAAGATAGCTTTTACCAACTCACTAGACTCTCTACTATTCTAGAGTTATATTACAATTTCGTATCTTTTCTGTTTTCTGATTTTTTTCTACATTGCAATCTAAATAGTTTTCTACCAAAAGCCTGTCCCGGTGAAGCTATTTTCAACCAATCAGTATCGAAGCCTGTTATTTTTAACCAATCACAGAGTATCCGGTAGAACCAGTGGCGCATTTACGCCAAAGAGGAAAGAGGCTGTGTAAACTGTAATACTTCCCCATCAACGCTGGATTGGAACACTGTCTTTTTGTGGCATTGGAATAGCTTAGTCGGAAGCGAGTTGGATTGTCGTCTGCAAGGCGATTAGGTGCCATGGGTTCGAATCCTTCCCAAGATAAGAAAAATTCTGATGCCTGTGCCAGTGCTTCCGATGAGTCGACCCGGCTTTCACCCCTAATTCCCAATG